TACGGTTTGTGGCTAGGTAGCCAGTAGTTATGCATGTATTTAGATTTTACTATATATAGTATATCCAGATAATCTAAACTTTTAAAATTAGGATAAAACAATATATAAAAATCAGTCTTTGATTTTAGACCGAAGAGTCAATTAGCCTTGAAAATGCACTAATTACTCTTGGAGTAAGCGGATTGCGATCCGCATAACTCCTATTGGTTCTTGAATAAGAACAAAGGGTCGGTGACCTAAAGTACGCTTCCTCAAGCTCTAAGCTACGGCAGCCCCGCTGCACACAACCTATTGCTAAACATCCAACTGGATTGTAAGATTGAGTTTGATACTTGGCTATTGGAAGCCCACGCTAAGTTCCGGAAGGGTGCATTCTTCCTGGGTTGTGAAAAATGGATATCAGTCTATATTTCACTGCGATCATGAAAGTCTTGATGAAACGTGATCGCTTGGTCTTATACTTTGTAGGCGGGTACGATAACAAAGTTTTAAAGTTTATTTTCACGTGTAGTACATCTCCCTGGCATCAGTATGTTGCTTGATTCATCTTGGCTTCTAGCCATAGCATTACTCACTCAACAAATAACGCTTTCTGCTGCGGGGCTGTCGTAGCTATGCGCTTGAGGAAGCGTAATTTAGGTCACTGACCATTCGTTCGTATTCAAGAACCAATAGGAGTGTACCGGATCGCAATCCGATACTTTTAAGAGTAGTTGAATCCTTAACTAAGGCTAATAGACTCATCGATTTAAATTCAAAACTGATTTTTTTTCATTTTTATCTGCGGCAAAGCCGCCTAAGTTTAAATGATTAGATTTCCTGAATGTATATAATAAAATCTAAATACATGCGGAACTACTGGCTACCTAGCCACATACCGTATTCTTGTTTTTGTGTGGTCACATCATGCCTATCTTGTGTGACACACACGCACCTGTTACCAGGGTACGTGTAACCCCGTTACGCTCTCCTTCCATTAAGATTAAGAGCGTTTACAGTTCCAATCGATTATTGCCTCAACGAGGCTCGCGTGTTCGCTAGACACTGCAACTGAATTCAATGGAATAAAAAGAATTCCGTGCTCAAGTGCCCTGTGTCAACGACACTGAATTCACCAAGTCTCGCTGGTTCTCCCGCACGCGGTGCAATGTCAGACAGTGCGTCCGCGGCACAGGGGGATATACGTCCTAGGCTTGATGAGCACATGCGTCGCGCTTTGCGCACCTTATCAATGACGAGTGACCTCATGAGGATGTGGAAGTGGTCGACTACAAGTCTGACGCTCATTTTATGGGATGACGAGGAAGGCAAGCTGCGCCAGCCGGCCTTGCTCGCGCCTTGCGGACCCCATGTCCGTTCCCTGACTTCTCGTCAACCAAGGAACATGGTGTAATCACCAATGCCCTCGACGGGGCTCAGAGGCGGCAGCTTCAAGCTGCCCATAAGGCGACCCTGAAGCGCGCCCATCCACGGCCGGTCATTGACCCTCGTGTGGAATATGGCTTCCTTCCAGCGGGTTCCGCTTTGGAGCAAAGGACGCGGTAACTCGATCGTTACGCGTCGGTCCCCCGCCCAGAACAGAAGATGAATCTGCCACACGGAAAGCTCTTCAAGCTCGTTTCTTGATTCCACAAGAAATTCCGTTGGACGTTTATCGCACTCGTCAACGTGCC